TATTCTGATCTAAATCAGAAGACAGAAAATCCGCCCCTTTCAGGATACGGTCATTGTGCAAGCGTTAGAAATATAACAGCAATTTAAAAAAAAAACCCCAAACCTACTGTCTTTACCTGCTCTTCTCAGAGCTATTGCTTTTAAGTGTGAGCGGTAAAACCTCTTATTCTGACATTTTAGCTCAGAGGAAATATCCCTGTCAGTGATATACCCCTTACAGGTCAGAGTCCTTAGCTGGAAGTAAGCCTTTTTGGCTGATGGAGTGATCATTGTAGAGTACATAGGAAAGTGTCAGTCAGGTTTTCCCTTCCAGTATTTCTCCTCCATTCTTCATTTTCAATGTATGATAAAGGTGGAATTCAATTCAAGGCAGATAATTTGTAGAAAGTAGGGCAGTCACTGCTTTTTCAGATATATAATGCCAAATGTATGTCTTTGAGGCAGTCCCTGACTGCGAATTTATTTGAAGGTAGTTGTGTCTGGGTAGATCTAATTTGCTGTTTATATTGAAGTGGAGCTTTGGAGACTTTTGAGCATGTTATTATTGTACAAAAAACAGCACTGGAAAGGAAGACAGCACAACAGAAAACCTGCGCAGCTCATGGAGAAGTGGGGCAGGAGCTTTCACTTTTATTTTCACAGTATCTTGTGTAATGAGCTTCACAAATTTCTGAGCAGGACTCTCAAATTCGACAAACCAAAAGCAATACCAAGAGGGAGTGATCTCAGCTTCCTCTGTTTTACCAGGGAGAAGGGCTGTCCAGGGAAGGGGATGGGCTTTCCCACAGCCCTCTTCTCCATTTGGGTCATTCTGGGACATGTTTGTGAACTTCAGCCGTGCCCTCACTGACACCCCAGATGACCCCAGCCAGGCCACAGCTGCTCCATGCAGAACCAGGATCGACATAGCTCCCTTTAAAATCAACAGCTTCTCCATGGGCTGGAATAAATGACCCTAATTAGCTATGTTTTCTATCCCATGGTGGAGCAGGCACCAGCCCTGACCGAAACCCCTCCTGGGTGCACAGCATCTCTGGGGCCCTGCTCATGTATGCACTTGTGGAGCTGTGCTAAAGGCACCCTTCCCTTTGGCAGGGCATGGTCTCCCTTAAGCAGCCCTGAGGACAACTGTCACACAGCTTTGGCAGTGGCTTAAGTGGAGTGGGAGGACAGCAGATGAACACGTGGAGTGGTTGCAGTGTTTCCAAGGCTGGCAGGCAAACAATTCAGTGTTTATGATTTTCAATACTCCAATTGCAAATACAATGATCTATGTGGGAAAATATGAAGGAGAGAAAAGACGGTTATGGGATGACCTGGAGGACCACAGCAAAGTTAAAGAGGGGAATTTGCAGCCACCAGTGTGGCTACCCTTAAATGTTGTAAACAGAAGCCAAAATAGAATCATATGACAGCAAAATCAAATTTTTAGTAGAGGTTTGGGGTTTGTTTGCTTGTTTGTTTGTTTGTTCATCTACCATCCCACTGCTTTGTCCTTACCATGCTGCACAAAATCTGCTTTGCATATATAGCACATCCTCAACAAAAATCTCACAGTCTGATCAAAGCCAGCTAATTGAAAAGGTCAAAGCACAGATTATAATGCACACAGCTCCAGGGAGCTCTGTCACACGTGCGTGTGTGTATAAACAAAATCCTCTCTGCATGATGCACTGACAGTACGTAGGATTCATGGAGTGTGCTAGTCAGGAAGCAGCACTGTGCTGACAGAACTGCATGGCGGCTGTGAGATTAGCTGTGCAAAATGACCAGCTGCAGAGCAGAACCTTCCCAGGCAGGCCTGGATACTTGTCCCCATGCTGAGACCAGAATCTTGCATCGATTTTTTTCACATATGGAAAAAATACTGGGAACCTTTAAGATTTTCCTAAATAGTAGTATAAAAAGTGATTACAATAGCCCCGCTGCCTGGCTGTTCATGACTTTATTCTCCTTGTGTGGTTCCCATTTGGCTCACCATTAAAGCGCTGTTGGTGTACCTTGCTGGACCCAAGAGAGGGCTGCACCTTCAAACCAGAAATTCATAATTCAGAGATTCATAAAGTATAAGGTCAGCAGAGACTGTTACGATATTTTGTTCTGATCTTTTCCATCATGTGAGTCAGGGATTACCATATATGTACATATACATAAGAATCACTGAATGCCAGTTCGTGGAGCTTGATTTTATTTTATATGATTCAAGCATGCTACTTGTCTTCCCCTCCTGCTTACAATCTTTGGCTTCAGCAGAATTGTCTTTCTCAGACTTTTCTCTGTATTCCTGTTAGGTCTCTGTATGCAGATTTACCTTCAGACCCAAGGTCTTCTGCCTGCCCAGCACCACGCAAGGTGGAGTTTGCTAGGGGAATCTGCCTAACCTTGTTGCATGGCAGAGGCCAGCTAAGCTTGCTCCCAGTATGAGAAGCTCCTCAGCGTGAGAAGCTCCCCAGTATGAGCAGTGGCTGTGTGATACCACCGAAGAGAGCTGCTTGGGGAAACTCCAGGTCTGGAAGTCTGACTCTAGTCTGTCTCTAGCTCTGCTTTGCTGTATCTCTCCCACGAATTCCTTTCCTTCTCCCTCTCCTTCAGACATTTCCCCTGTTCTGCTCCCAGTCACTGGCAATGTCCTCCTTTGCTGCCTTGATTCAATTTCTTGGATGCATTAGTGCTCAGCTACCTGATTACTTTTAATTCCTTTCTTTGTTCTATTGATTTTGCCATAACTGAATCCATCTGTTGCATCTGACCTATGGGAGGACAGGAAGGCTGTTTTTCAGACGGCTTCTTTCCTCCCTAAAAGGGTGGTGTTTTACAGAACTCAGAATGAGAGTTTTGGTACTGCCTAGAAATTTCCACAGAACATGTTCTGTATCATTTCATTACTACTCAGCTATTTGTTGGTTATTATTAACAAATTTGATTATGGAGGGTCAAACTCTATGTGAAATATACAGTGTTCTCTTTCCCTTGTTCCTCCAAATAGCTGTTTGTGCCAGTCATGTACTGTGCTCTGAGCCAAAGACAGTCCCACAACTGCCAGAAACACAGGAGTCTCCCATATTTTCATCTTTCCACTTGCTCCCCAGCCAACTCAGCTTGGAGCTCCCTGGCTCCAAGCTCCATCTTCAGCTTCCCTACAAGCTACCAGCTCCCTCATCCCCACCGTGATTCCCTCCCAGTTCACAGCTCCCTTCTCCAGAAGCAGGCCAGAACAAAGAGATGCACTGTAAATAGGAGAGACCTTCTCGGTTTGCTTTGCATGTGGTCCTGATTATTATGGTCTGCTTGTTTTAGCTGGTGGGAACTGTTTCTGGAGGAGAGGAGTGAGCCAGATGCTGAGCAGAACCCATCCTGGGAGCAGTGCTGGAGAGAGCAGAAGAGCAAAAGGCAGCAGAGGTGTTTCAGGAAGGACAAGCAGAAAATGTGGGAACATGGGTGAAGGAGAAGCAGGCTTCCTGACAGCTGCCAGCTGTGTGCTGCAGCACCAAGGCTTCCTCCGTGGCAGGTCGGGACCTATACACTGTTCAAACTCATAATTCCTGCAAGTACCCTGGCTTGACTCAAAGAACTTTGTTGCCTGAACACGTTACATGGTTGTTCTGCCTCCAGATGGCAGACGGAGATACCAAGACAAGCTTTGCAGTGGTTCTCTGGCTGTGGATGGCAGATGGTGTGTCTTGGAGACATCCATAGATAAATACAACTTTTTCCTGACTCAGCTTGGCTTCCACAAGCTCAGCTGCTATCACAGAGGTGAAAGATGGTATCACAACAACTTTCTTATTATATACTATACATTTCACAGAAGGTTTATTACTATTTTTTGAATATAGATGCCCTGAGCAAGACTTCCTGCCTGATGGCCAAACATAACCTCGAGGCCACATAAAGAAAACATCAAAGCTCTGTTTCCACTATGATTAACTGCCCTGAATGCTGGATTTGTGCATAATAGAGAGGAATTTACCCTATACCCTGGGTGTGGGAAGCTTCTCTTTTATAGTAGCAGAATGATCTAACACCTCAAATCTGCAGGTAGGATCAAAGAGTTGGTACACAACTGATGCCACCTTTGTTTCAGTCTCTTGTGTTCCTGTATCCCTGCAGGTGTGCTGCCACCCTTTTACATCCTCCCATGCATGCAACAGATCTGCAGCGATTTTCATCTCATGGCTTATAGTAGTGGACATAATCAAGGACAGCATGAAGGTGTGTGAAGGTGGAGAGGGTTCACTGGTAAAGGTGGAGAAGGTTCAAGGACAATGTAGAGAAGGGAATTTCTCCCAGGAAGTTAAGAGAGTGCCTTAACAGTTGAGTGAAACCTATCCAATGTTACTTCAGCCTTCTGGCTGACATTTTGATACAAGATGTATGATGGAAATCAGTATTTTAATTTCTGCAATAACCACCACAGTACACAAGTATTGTTCAGAAATTTTCTATTACTGTCTGGAGTGTTAGCTTTTATGGTGCCATATACATGTGCAGTATGCACAAGTTACAGTTGCCATGGGATTGTTAGTAATGAAATTCTTGAGTTCTCAGTGCTTAAAAATCTCAAATGAGTTATAAAGGAGACTTGTTTGCATTTCATTTCCTTAGTTAAAGGAAGAAAAAATAATTCCCACAACCCTTTGTGATAAAATTTTCCAAACTAACACCCCTTCATCTTAAAGCTTTGACTTTTTTTCCCAACAAATCTCTCTTGTGTCCTTCATCACTATGATTGGAGCAAAAAGCTTTTTGAACATTTGGTCTGAGGAAATGCAACGCCCTTCCTGGCACTATCATTTTACCACTGACAGTTTTTCAACATGAGTTATAGAAAGGTGATATTTTGTTCAGGATACTGAGTGAGAGCCCTGAAACCTGGGATTTATTTTCAGTATTGAGCAATCTCCCCTGACTTGTGTTTTCCTGATTTTGCTGTCTGTAAAAATAAACTTTTGCTGTTTATCCACACTTTTTTTTTTAAAGTTATTTTTGTGTGTGTTGTTTTTTGGTTTGGATTTTTTTTTCCTTCTGCTTTTACTCCATAGTGAGTCTGGAGTGCTGTTGGAAGTCTGAATGAGGCTGAGGGAGGAAACTGGAAAAATACAGGTTAGTATTCATGATGTGAAAGGCATTTATGCCAGAAATGTAAACATTGGGCCTGTTTTGGGAATTCCAAAGGAGCGTTTTCCCCCTAGCTGGTATCACCATTTTCCGTTTTAAAACATTGGTTGTCTCCACAAGGTATCACTGTTTTCCATTTTAAAACACTGGTTGTCTCCACGTGATCACCCACTTCCCCATTCTTATTAGCACGCGTCATGCATCACCTGGAATTCATCAGCATCCTGTACTGGTTCAGTGAGGCAGTCCATTCCTACATCCCCAGCATGCACAGGACTAAAAGTTTTTATGCTCTTATCTGTGCACTGGGATTGAGCAGTACCTCATGAGAGTTTCTTCCATTCTCACGACATTAAGTGGGAAACAAGTTTACAGTTATCACAGCCCAATGTTGGTTTTATTTATCTGGGAAATCCTCTCTTTGAGAATAATTTTCAGAAAGTGTCTGATACTTTTGATCCCACCTTTCCCCCCAAATTAGAATGAGCTCTTAACCTCCTTTTGGCAGGGAAGGAAGAAGGTCTAGGGCCTGAAGACAACGAGCAACCACATACCACCAGGAAAACCTATTTTTTTCCTGATAAGAGAATAGCTGCTAGAGTAGAACCTGATCACAGGACAGCCAGAGCAGCTCTTTTGAGTTAATCTGCTTCCCCCTCTAACCTCATTCCACAATACAGATAATAAAGGATTTAACAACCTGCAATGCTCCATTCAGAAAGGCACTGAGTTCCCTGTGTATTTGAAGGCAACATTAACAGGAGCTGTAGGGTCTCAAGCTATAGTATGCAGGGTGCTCATAGCCTCTTACTCTCAAAGCTGTAGTTTATAGGTTAGGTACACATGCAGTAGGAGGGTATTTGTAGCAAAGCCAAGGTATTTGTAGAGCTTACAACTGCAATATAAAATGCTGTTTTGCACTCAGGAAGACATAAGGTTATGTTCCTGTTTCAGACACATATCAGATATATTTTTCACACAAAATGTGAAATCATACTACTGCTTTCTAGTCTTTGAAAACTGGATCAGGGCAGTTTTGAGGATTGCAGGGATGAATGTGGTGTGTGAAATAATTACAGGAAGCTTAGGAGCCACAATCCTTGGTTTGTCTGTAAGGGGGCATGCAACTTCACAGAGTAATTTGCTGTCATTATAATACAACAGCGTAATAATAAGTTACGTGTGTATTATTACACAACAGTGTAATAATAAGTTACATAATAAGGTTATGAGTCCATCTGAAGGGGGTGAAACAAGTATTTGACATTAAGGACATAGGTATATGGATGGGAAGAGAGAAAAAAGATCTGGGTGAGCTGTGGTTAAGAGATGGAGGGAAAAGGCATAGTCTGAAGTTAGTAGATAAGGTGACAAGGAAAAAATAAATAAAAAAAGGTAAAGAAAAGACAAAGCAGAAAAAGAAGAATGTATAATCCCTGCCCATGGCAGGGGGGTTGGAACTTGGTGATCTTAAGGTCCTTTCCAACCCTAACTATTCTGTGCTTCTATGATTCTGTGGTAAACAACAGAGACCCAGAGAAGTCAGAAAATAGGACAATTTATTATAAGATTGTTTAATGTATTATATACTCATTAACAATGACCAAGAATGACTAGTAAGACAATGAGCACAGGTGCCTCCAATCCCCTCTGTCTTCCAGAATGCTCCTTTACAGATCTTGGCATTTCAGAAACCTGGACACATTGAGGAGGTTGGAGAGGAACCTGTGGAAAGTAAATGTCTCCAGTGGCCCAGCTCTATCACATCGTCTGTGGTAAAGCTTCATCATACATTCATCATCAAGTCCTGGAACCTGGAGAAGAAGCAGTCATCTGGGAAAATTAAGAGGTAGGACTTGAGTGTGAAAATAGAGTTTGGATAGAGCAGTATAGGAAGAGGGATCTGGTGATCAAAATGCTAGCAAGAAGATGACATAAATATTTTACCTTTCATTAACATATTTTCACTTAATTTCTGATAGTACTCTACAGATGTGTAATTGTTGACTACAGAACTAACCCAAATTTATTTGAGAAAAGGAGGTATCTTTAATGAACCATGTATTGACATTTGTTCTACTCAAAAGTAAAAAGAATACCTAATTTAACAGTTAGGTCTGATTCTTCACTATACTGATGAATATTTATGTTTATTGAAATATATTTAAATTGCTGAGGTGAGTAGCTCGAGAGAGGACGCCTTGAACACCGGAGCGGGGGAGATCAGCATCCAGGAGCCTCAACTCAGAGAGACAAGAGCCACCGAGGGAGCCTCAAGTCCTCGACAGGACCTGCCCAGGAGCGCAGCTCAGCTGAGGCGAGCAGGGACTTACCGGGGGCGGAACCAGGATCAGCGGCGCCAGCCCTGACTCGGTAAAAACCTCCCCCGGGGAGCGCCGCGAGGTGAGCACAGGCCGTATGACCAGCGTCCGCTGTGGGAGCTCTGCTCTGGCTGCCCCTGCGGTGGCCACCGTAGGCACTCAGACAGAGCCGATGAGAGGGGAGGCTGCAGTGCAGAGCTCGGAGTGTAAATATTGCCTGCACTGCTCTGGTGAGGGAAAGGTACACAGTGAGCAGGGCTGCACTGGGTGCTCCCTGGTGGAGGTTCTCCTGCAGCAGGTGGCTGAGTTGCGGGATGCTGTCAATAGGCTGCAAGATGTCAGGGTAGCCGAGAGGAAGCAGGAATGCTTGCTACAGGCCCAAACTGTGCAGGGGCCTCAAGCTTCCCCTCTAGCTCATGAAGGAAAGAAGGAGGCCATTAACCCAGGAAGCTGGGAATTAGTAATGAAAAAAACCCAACAACAAACCAACAAAAAAAAAAAAAGGAGGAAGAAGACAACGAAAAGCAAGGGGCTTCCTCCTAAATTTGTTGTCCCCACGTAGAACCGCTTTGCTGTCCTGCAGGGGGATAATGAGGAAACACACTCGCACTAGAAGCAATCGATAAAGAAGATTTCTACTGGTGCTGCCAGGAAAAAGTGGCAGGTTGTAGTAGTAGGGGACTCTACTTTGAAAGGAACAGAAGCACTCGTCTGTTGGTCTGACCTGGTCTCAAGGGAGGTGTGTTGCCTACCAAAGGCATGGATCAGGGATGTTGCAGAGAGGCTGTCTGCTCTAGTAAACCCCACGGACTATTACCCGCTTCTAGTGATACATATGGGTGCTAGGGATATAGATAGTAGTAACCTGGGGAACATGAAGAAGGACTACAGAGCCCTGGGAGAGGTGGTTAGGGGCTCTGGAGCTGAGATAGTCTTTTCGTCAATTCTCCAGGATACAGGGGAGGACCTAAGAAAAACTAGGAGGATTAGCCAGGTTAATAAATGGTTAAAAGGGTGGTGTCACAGTCAGGTCTTTGGGTGTCTTGAACATGGAACCCAAGTTTGTAGGCCAGGTCTAGCAGGGGCTGGTGGAGCTGGTCCGATAAAGAAGGGGAAGAGCAGTTTTGGTAGAAGGCTTGCCAGACTGGTCAAGGAGGCTTTAAACTAGATGTGTTGGGGGAGGGGGGCATCATTCCATCCCAACACTCCCAGTCAGTTGCCAGCACCTATAATAAATGCTCGGAGCAGTGTAGATATATTCCAGCCGCTCCAGCCAATGAGCTGGCTTCCTTTGGAGCTTGGCTCAGATGCCTCTATTCAAACACCCATAGCATGGGGAACAAACAAGGGGAATTAGAGATGTGTGCTCGTCTATGGGGGCATGACATTATAGGCATCACAGAAACATGGTGGGATGGCTCCTATGACTGGAGCATTGGAATGGAAAGTTACAGACTCTTTAGAAAAGACAGGCCTGGCAGGTGGGGAGGGGGAGTTGTTATTTATGTTAGGGACTTCAACCACCCTGATATCTGTTGGAATGATGGTATGGCCTGGCACAAGCAATCCAGGAAGTTCCTCGATTGTGTGGAAGACAACTTCCTTCTGCAAGTAACACAGGAGCCAACAAGGAGAGGTGCCATGCTTGACCTCGTGCTCACCAACAGGGAAGGGCTCATTGGAAACGTGATGCTCCAGAGCAGCCTTGAATGCAGTGACCATGAGATGATCGAATTCAAGATCCTCAGGACAGTGAAAAGAGTGTGCAGCAAGCTCACTGCCCTGGACTTCAAGAGAGTAGACTTTGGCCTCCTCAGGAACCTGCTTAGTAAGGTTCCATGGGATATAGCCCTAGAGGGCAGGGGGGGCCCAAGACTGTTGTTTGGTATTCAAGGATCACCTGCTCCAAACTCAGGAGTGTTGCACCCCAACTAGAAGGAAGTGCAGCAGGAGGGCCTTATTCTTATAAAAAGTGGAAGCAAGGAGAGGCTGCCTGGGAAGAGTACAGGGATGTTGTCTGGGAAGCTAGGGACCAGGTTAGGGAAGCTGAGGCTCAGTTAGAATTAAACTTGGCTAGGGATGTTAAGGATAACAGGAAGAGATTCTGTAGGTACATAGTGAATAAAAAACAGACTAGGGACAATATAGGCCCCCTCAGGAAGCTCTCGGGAGACCTAGCTACACAGGATTTGGAGAAGGCTGAGATTCTGAATGACTTCTTGGCCTCAGTCTTCACTGGCAAAGGCTCTGACTGCACCACCCAAGTCTTGGAAGGTAGACGCAAGGACTGTGAAAATTAAGACCTTGGGCCCACTGTAGGAGAGGATCTGGTTCGAGGTCATCTTAAAAACCTGAATGTGCACAAGTCCATGGGTCCTGATGAAATCCATCCACGGGTCCTGAAAGAGATGGCGAATGAAGTTGCTAAGCCGCTGGCCATCATATTTGAAAAATCATGGCAGTCAGGTGAAGTTCCTGACGACTGGAAAAAGGGAAATATAACCCCCATTTTCAAGAAGAGGAAAATGGATGACCCAGGGAATTACAGACCAGTCAGTCTCACCTCTGTGCCTGGAAAAATCTTGGAGCAGATTCTCCCGGAAGGCATGCTAAGGCACATGAAAAACAACAAGGTGCTTGGTGACAGCCAGCATGGCTTCACTAAGGGGAAATCCTGACTGACCAATTTGGTGGCCTTCTATGATGGGGCTACAGAACTGATGGACAGGGGTAGAGCAGTTGATGTCATCTCCCTGGACTTGTGCAAAGCATTCAACACTGTCCCACACAACATTCTTGTCTCTAAATTGGAGAGACATCAATTTCATGGATGGACCACTCGGTGGATAAAGAACTGGCTGGATGTCTGCATGCAAAGAGTTGTGGTCAATGGCTCAATGTCCAGCTGGAGACCAGTAATGAGTGGTGTCCCTCAGGGATCGGTGTTGGGACCAGTCTTGTTCAACATCTTCGTCGCTGACATGGACAGTGGGATTGAGTGTGCCCTCGGCGAGTTTGCCGATGACACCAAGCTGTGTGGTTCGGTTGATACGCTGGAGGGAAGGAATGCCATCCAGAGGGACCTTGACACGCTTGTGAGGTGGGCTGATGCCAACCTCATGAAGTTTAACCATGTCAAGTGCAAGGTCCTACACCTGGGTCGGAGCAATCCCAGGCACAGCTACAGGCTGGGCAGAGAAGAGATTCAGAGCAGCCCTGCGGAGAAGGACTTGGGGGTGCTGGTCGATGAGAAAATGAACATGAGCCGGCTTCAGTGTGTGCTCGCAGCCCAGAAAGCCAACCGTATCCTGGGCTGCATCAAAAGGAGTGTGACCAGCAGGTCGAAGGAGGTGATCCTGCCCCTTTATTCTGCTCTCGTGAGACCTCACTTAGAGTATTGTTTGCAGTTCTGGTGTCCTCAACATAAAAAGGACATGGAACTGTTTGAACAAGTCCAGAGGAGGGCCACGAGGATGATCAGGGGACTGGAGCACCTCCTGTATGAAGATAGGCTGAGAAAGTTGGGACTGTTCAGCCTGGAGAAGAGAAGGCTGCATGGAGACCTCATAGCAGCCTTCCAGTATCTGGAGGGGGCCTATAGGGATGCTGGGGAGAGACTCTTCATTAGGGACTGTAGTGATAGGACAAGGGGTAATGGGTTCAAACTTAAACAGGGGAAGTTTAGAATGGATATAAGGAGGAAATTTTTTCCTGTTAGGGTGGTGAGGCACTGGAATAGGTTGCCCAGGGAGGTTGTGAATGCTCCATCCCCTGGGGGTGTTCAAGGCCAGGTTGGACGAAGCCTTGGGTAAAATGAATTAGTGTGAGGTGTCCCTGCCCATGGCAGGGGGGTTGGAACTTGATGTTCTTAAGGTCCTTTCCAACCCTATTCTATGATTCTATATTTTCTTTCAAATCTTTTCATTTGCTGAAAATAGAGCAATCAAAAAGGGGGAGGAAAAATTGTTCTAGAGGACATAACTACAACTGATAATGTCAGCAACTTGCTTTATATATGAATTTGCATTTGGGAAAAATCAACGCAGAGCCAGAGGAAGAAGAAGGAATAATAAAACATTACTGAATTAAGCTATGAATAGCATTGTTGAAATGAGCTGTTTCATAACTGATAATCAGATGTTCTTTTTCTAATCATTCCCAACACATATCCTGTACTGGACAGTGTTAACTTTTTAGCTCAGAGAATATGAATTCTCGGTTTCAAATGTCATCTCAATTTTTAAATTTCTAACATCTTATTATTCCAATTACTTCTATCAAAATTGACTTTGGGACTTACATACTTGATTACAGCAGTGAGATTCAGTTCAGTGGAGCAGATACTTGGCTATCAATATTCAGAGATAGTGACAGCTCTGCCAGTGAAGGACCTGACCTGTAAAGTGCCAGTGGCTTAGTCCCATACAAAATGCCATGTGCCTTCAATGTCTTGTAAAGGTACTGGCAACTGTGTTAGTTCAATAACTTTGCAGAATTGTTTAGCATCTTAAAAAACTGAGTCCTAAACTGATTTCATAATCTACTTTTTTTCTTTTTTGGGGGCTGCTTTTTTTTTTCTGTCTCCTGAAAAATCACAATAATACTGTTACAGCTGGAGATGGGGCATAAATGGAGTCTTTAACAAACCCCGTCCTCTCCCCCAGATTTAATGATTCAGGTAAAATGGAATGACATTCAAACCGATTCCAAGTTTTTTTTTTGCTTTTGCAAAACCA